TGAATACAGTCGGAGTTATATATAAAAAAATGTCTTTGATCTTTGAAGCTGTTTAATAGCAGTCAGCGGGTGTTGCAGTGCATCAGTCCAAAAGAAGTGAAATAAAAAGCGCCCATGCATAAAAAAAAAAAGTGTCTCGCACTACTCCGGGGGGTGAACAAAGGCCTCCTATATCGAATCAATGTGTTTTTGTAAGAAAAATAACCATATTTAAAACGTAATGATTACAATTTAATCTAGCTTGCGCTCACTGTTGTACACAGAAGCAGCTCCGGGGGAATGACGTGTGAGGTCAGCTTTGCGCTTGCTCAGAAGTGACGCACGCGGAAACGCAGCGGAGAGATCAAACAAAACAACGGTCACTAATTAGAAGTACAAAACGAGGATTTGTAAAGAAGAATTTCAGAGGATTTCGATATAAGCCAAGAGGAGACTGGTTTTCCTTTGCTAAAGTAAGGAAACTTTGCTTCCTTTGCTCCTGTAAACAAACGTTGGTTTTCACAAGACTCACTGAACTCATACGTCATTCGCCCGGAGCTGCTTCCGTGTAGGACTGTTGGCGCAAGCTACGTTAAAGTGATTATTACGTTTTGAATATGGATATTTTTCTTACAAAAACGCATCGATTCGCTACAGGAGGCCTTTGTTCACCCCCCGGAGCAGTGTGAGATACTTTGTTTTTATGGATGGGCGCTTTTTATTTCACTTCTTTTGGACTGAAGCACTGCAACACCCGCTGACTGCCATGAAACTGCTTCAAAGATCAAAGACAATTTTGAATATAACTTCGACTGGATTCATCTGAAAGAAGAAAGTCATATACACCTAGGATGCCTTGAGGGTGAGTAATTTATGGGCTAATTTAAATTTTTGGGTGAACTAACGCTTTTAGCTTCCCTCAACTCTTTCCATCTTTATTTGGACTACTGAGTAGATGAGTTTACCTGTATGGAGAATGGTGTTTAATGTCTCAGACAACCAATTGTAAGCAGCCACCTTTTTCAAGACTAGTATAAATCACAAGGGGCTATTACTGATGTATATTATGTTGTAGAATAAAAAAGTTAAAATATATTGAGCTTGTGTTCACCACAGACCTTATTTCAAGCATTTAACCACAAACCCATTCAAATGGACGATTTGGGGAACTGAACGTGTTTCTGGGTTTTGGCCTACAAAAATACATCATCCCTGCAGCACTCTATAGCAGCCAAATAAAAAAACTATGAAGAATGACTAATAAATATATATATATATATATATATAGGCAACATTTTTTTATAAAAATAACTTATAAAAAATATTATCAGCGCAACTGTTTTACAGATACATAGCAATGGTAAAAAGCTTCTATGTGCCAATTAATAAGTGAAGTATTGCAGTTACCAAACCTGTCCTACAGAAACTATCGTGCAGCAGCCTACAGTCAAGCTGTACAAACAATCATATTTACTCATACTGACCGAGTGGTTAGTGTGTTAGATTGGTTGATAAGATTATCCAAAGGGACACACAATTATGAACACAATGTAATCTTGTGCTTTTTAGGAATGTTTCACCACCAATCTAATAACCTACAACATAAAACTTAAAACTCAGACTTTATCTGTACGGATTCACCTAATATTACAGTAAACACACCCCTATTCCATCCCCCTTTTTTCTATTTTGAGGTGGGGCCAGTTAAAATATTGTTGGAGGGATTACAAAACTGAACTACAGGCTTGACTGGTCCAGCAGAATAAAATCTTTATTGTTTTATCCTTTATTGCTGGAACAGGCCTTTACCGTTTACCCCTTTCTGGCATGATCATTTCATTCTAAAAGAACAATGAATCAACACTATAGTCTCATAACCAAGTTTTGACAGAATTACTTATCACCAGTGTTGGGGAAAGTTACTTTTAAAAGTAATGCATTACGAAAAAAAAAAAAAAAATCTTGCGTTACTTATTTGAAAAAGTAACTCAGATATTCTCTTGTAAATTAAAAAGTAATGCGTTACTTTACTAGTTACTTGAAAAAAGTAATCTGATTACGTAACTCGTGTTACTTTGTAATGAGTTACCCCCAACACTGCTTATCACACTGATGCCAGACTGAACGTGAGAACCACAGCTAGAAAAATGTAAAACAAAAATATAATTCTAGACCCAATACATTAGGACCTAAAAACATTCAGAGAAACCCCAAACCACTCAAACTTTGTTTTATTCAGTCATACACACATGAATAGTTACTAGCTTTGATCTATCGATCTATCTATCTTTTATTAAATATTCTCGTTTATTAGGTACTTACCCTCTCATTTAATTAGGCCAGAATGAGCAATATTGATTCACCATGTACACACCCTCATGTCATTCCAAACATGCATTTCTTTCTACTGTGGAACATACAAGATATTAAAAAAAAAAAATGTTAGTAACAATTTGGGTGACCATTGACTTTTGAAAAAAAAACAACAACTAAGAATCACTAAGAGATTTCTAAAATTATTTTAATATCCAACAGAAGAAAGTCACACAGGCATGGAAGGACATGAGGGCGAGTGATTGGTGAACAATAGGACACTTAGACTGCACAATGTCATCATTTTTTTTTTTTTGCACTCAAGTGTTATAGCTCATAAGCTTTGTTCTGTTTTCAAAGGTAAAAGCAGTGCATAGGAATAGAAAGTGTCTGAATCCAAATTTAAAGTGAATGAAGTCTAATGAAGAATAATGAAGGCCACATGGGCACAAGTGTTCTGAGGTGTGCATTTTGTGTTCCCTCACACATACAAGAGGAGACTATTAATAGCATGTGTGTCATTAGCTGAACACCACCATCAGCAGAGCCTCAAGCACCACCCAAACTCCTATAATACAGTCAGGCCTGACATCACCCTGACCACTTCCCTTTTAGATATCACAATAAAACTAGCTCTGCACTAAAAGTTCCTGAGCAGGCAAGCACACACACACACACACACACACACACACACACTGAGAATGTGATGAAAAACTGCTGATATGGAAGTGGAGGGGAATCATTTGTTACTGAATATATATAGCTTTCAACAAGGACACATTTAATTGATCAAAATAATTTGAAATATATGCCTACTATGGAAAAAAGTAAGAATATCACACTTACCATAATATTAAGTTGCACACCTGTTTCAGCACTGACAATAAAACAATGTTTCTTGAGCAGCAAATCGGCTTATTTTAATAATTTCTAAGGATCATGTGATGTGACACTAAGAATGGAGTAATTGTTATCACAGGAATAAATTACATGTTAAAACATTCAAATGGAAAACAGTTATTTATAGTTGTGATACTACATTTTTTTACGGTATTTTGATCAATTAAATGCTTGGTGAGAACAAGACTTTTCAAAAATTTAAAAAAAATTTACACACACAGAGGTTTGTTTTTGTGAAAAGTGGGGACTCTCCATAGGCGTAATGGTTTTTCTACTGTACAGACCGTATATTCTATTGCCCTACACCAACCCTACCCCTAAAACTACCCCTCACAGGAAACTTTGTGCTATTTTAGATTTTCAATACACTCCATTCTGTGTGATTTATAAGCGTTTTGAAAAGTGGGGGCATGGGATAATGTCCTGAAAGGTCACCTTCTCCTTGTAATACCTGTGTCATACCCTTGTCATTATACAAATTTATGTCCTCATTTGTCACAAAAACACGCGCACACACACATACACATACATATATATATATATATATAGAGAGAGAGAGAGAGAGAGAGAGAGAGAGAGGGAAAAAGGGAGATCATTCACACTTATGACCTACACAGTTATTCATAAACTCATATGCGGCAAACTACAAACCAAATAAGAAAGACAATACACAGCCATAAAACATGGTGTGTGACAATCACCTGCTTTGTAATTCAAACAGTTCTGACCTTGTAAATATGTCTAACAAACATGCAAAAGTCTCTATTATGGTTTAACAGCAGGTTTCAACAAGTTGGCAGTAGCTGCGGAGTTGATTACAGTCTGAACATCTGTATCCATTTCTGTACTACCAGTACAGTATGTCACACTTTAAAAGGAAGTGCACCAAAACTTCAGTAAAAATGGAGAAAAACAAAAAACAACCATCAATATGTCAGCAGTCAAGCTCATTTCCTGCAATGCGAGCGGCTGATGTGGCCCTTGTGGCTTCGACTGATCTGAATACCGGCGTGTGAGGGAGAAGAGACAGCCTAGCAGTTTAACAATCATTCAAGATGGCGCACAAAGCAACAAGGGATCACAGCACTTGTTATTAGCAGCTTTGTCAGCAAGAGCAGCATTTGTGGCGTCCAGCACCAGCCGCCCATTACTCTTCTCTGTGTGCAACAGTTTAGCAGCTGTGCTGCCTTTAGAGAGCAAGTGGGAGACATCCTGTTTTTACAGTGGGATTTGCTGGGGGCACGTGGTGTGGAGCAGACCTGTTTCAAAACAGAACAATCCTGACACAGCTCATTTTGGGAGATTAAACTAAAATGTTCATATAACAAATATTTGCGATGAGACATTAAAGGAGGATCTAAGAGTTACTGCACTGTGATGTTGCTCTCTAAATGAATGGTCGGCGTTTAGATTATTAATTAAATCATTCACTGAAAATGTGCCAGCTCACATATGTTTGAAAGGTGTCTGGAGTCCTTTGTGCAAACACATGACGAGGTCAAACATTAAACCCAACACACATTCTTTAGAATCTTATCTGCTATGGATTCCAAAGTGCTTGGAGTCCTGGGTTTGGAAAATATTGTGCAAATACATATGGGCTGCAAACTCAGGGAAAGCGAGAAAAGGATTTTCCATGTGCGCTACCTAGAACAAAACTAAAATGAAATGGAGGGATTTTTAAGCAGCGCTAAATTCATTTTCCATCTGACTTTGGTTTGGCTTGGTAAATGACGGTGGAAACTCCCATGCATCAAAAGGCATCAAAGACGGCATGAATTGGTCAGAACAAGAATGAACTAAAAGCATTAAAATGACTAAGTTTAATTTGAAGTTACAATTACATAGCTGTTTCTATACAGGTTTCTCAAAATGATTAAAGCAAAGAGAGGAAATGAATAGAACGAAACATTTCCCTCCAAAATGACAAACTCAGTCCACTCTACCGCAAGCACTACACTTGAAATGCAAGAACGTAACAATCCCACATTTTAGAGACACATGTGTGTAAGTCAAAGACAATCTGGTCAATGTAGTTAGCCTAAATGGTAAAAGGGCTACAAAAGGCATCCCTCGAGGTTTCAAAATTAACTCTCTTTAACGTTGAACTCGTTTTGGGCTACATTGCAATGCAGACAAAAACCTTTCTGTGGTTTTCCAAGCTTTCGAGAGCACAAGACATCACTCAGTTCAATTATGCTGTGTGAATATAAGTTATGTCTGTGGTAAGCCCGCCTTCCACGATTAGACTTTTGCATAAAATGTTCCATGGACTCATTTACATGTTGATTATCATTGGATGTCAGTGATATCATAACTATGGCACGGTTCAAAACCTGTTACACCACATAGCTACCTACAATTAGTATGCTACAACCTCCTCAGCAAAACTGTGCTTTGCTACAGTGGATGCCTGGACAGTTTGGATACATCTCGGTATAAAATGCCTTTAACACACTATTGGACTGTTTGCGGGAGACAAACTGTAGAAAACCTACAATCAAAGAAGAACAAAAAAAAAAATAGAGAATCTTCATTCAGGAATGCTTTATCATGTTAAGCAATAGTCCAAGGTGTGTGACACGGGTACGTCACAGTAGACAGGAAACTAAAAGCAAGCCAAACCCATTACGTTGTTTCAAAGAGGGCCGTTTGAAAACGAACCAAAAAGAAATGTTAACTCTAAATCAAAACAGCACGAATATTCGGTGGAGAGTGTGATTTTCCCCATGTTGAGTTCATTTGTCCTAAACAGTCAGTGCCAGTGTCATTAAGACTTGTAGTTAGATGTTAACCAAGTTAAGCCTTCGTACAGTCCGTCACCGGTGGTCGCGCACGACGGCTGCACGTACCAATTCCTATCCCGGATGCGCGTCAGTCCCAGCTTCTCCTGGATCTCGTGTGGCTTCATGGCGTCCGGCAGGTCTTGCTTGTTGGCGAAAATCAAAATGATGGCGTCCCGCATCTCGCGGTCGTTGATGATACGGTGGAGTTCTTGCCTGGCTTCGTCGATGCGATCTCTATCAGCACAATCCACCACAAAAATTAACCCCTGCGTGCCTGTGTAATAGTGTCGCCAGAGGGGACGGATCTTATCTTGTCCACCCACGTCCCACACGTTGAACTTGACGTTTTTGTAGGTGACCGTTTCCACGTTGAAACCGACAGTTGGGATGGTGGTCACAGACTGGCCGAGTTTCAACTTATAAAGGATGGTGGTTTTTCCTGCGGCATCCAGTCCGAGCATCAATATTCTCATCTCTTTGTTACCAAATATCTTTGACAGCATCTTCCCCATCTTGTATACTGTTCATAAATGGCTACTACCCTCCAAAAAGAAAAAGTTTGAAAAGTGAAATACAAGGGCTTTCTCTTTAAGACTTCCTCTTTGGGATGTCAAATTTGGAAGTAAACAGAACACGTGCATATAACTTTATCACGAAGCTGGGCTTAAAGTCACAGTGAATAAGCAGTTCAGCCAATGCAGGCCACTGGGTTGCTGATTAAAGACAGTACTGAAAACTTTCAGTAGAACTGAAAAGGTCAAAGCTGGATTTTCAGGGTTTTTGCTTCGGTTGTAGGGTGGTACCAGTTTGAAAAACGCCACCCGCAACAATAATCCACAGAAACGCGACAAAAGCAGCGATTTTTCGGTGCTTTTCCTGTGTCTCTGGCTCTCTTTCGAGACTTCCGCTTGGCGTGTGAATGTCCGTCTCGGGGGCTGTTTCACGTCCTTCCCCCAAAATGTAACCGGATAGCAGCTGAAGTCGTTCAGAGCCTCGGCGGAAAAGCGTTCATTTGGCCGGCCGGTGGGTCTGTCATCTGGACCGTCTGAAGCGGAGCCGCGTCGATTTCAACCGTCCCGAATTCGAAGTGTGTCTCACGTGCCCCTGAGAGACAAGAGATGCTCAGAGGGAGTGCCAGGAAAGAGCAACTTAGCCTGCTAGCTTAGCCGGCCGAACAACCCACAGAAAATCGCTACCACACACTTTTTACACACATTTTCGACAGGTTATGTAAAATGTAACCATTAACAAGTTATTATCATTCATTTTAGAGCGACTAAATGCGTTTTAGTTACCTGCGGAGGCCCACCATTCTCTAGCAGTCTCAACCCCGGCGTTCACTCCTAAAACCAGCCGAGTTCAGTGTGAAACTGACTACGTCAACGCGAACGAGCGGAAACGGCCGCTGCTGCCCGATTTTCATAATAAAGGTGTTGGCAAACGTCAGACTTTCCTTTAAAATACACACATTTAAAATACACATTTCATTCAATATCACACAATATAAAACATAGAAAACGGGGCAGTTAGCGATAGCGACATTATTAGTTGTTCCTGTCCAATCAGCAACAACAGAGAACAAATCTAATACAAAAGTGTTTAAAAAAAAAAATCAATAAATTATAAGATGGTTGTTACGAATTGAGGTAAAAATATTGTTGACAGTGCTGATGAAAGGCACGATAATGGGAAAGTTTACCTAAAAGTGACAATTCTGTCTATATTTCCTAACCCCCATAAAGTTACAAAACTGTATGGGTTTATTTCCTTTATTTCTTCTGAGGAACACAACAGAAGACATTCTTAAGTTTATTGCTAACCAAACCATTTTGGTGACCACTGACTTCCAGCAAATAAATAAATAGGCGTCAACCTTCTAAGAGCCATAACTGACTTATGAAGACAGTCACTTGTCACCACCTACTGGTGTAACAATGTAACCTGCATATTAAGTCACATCTATAACGGAGAGTCTGGAACACACAAGGATAATGAGAGTGACACAGTAGAAACTGTAAAAAGTCATAGTTTGTCTGAATATCAACACTCTTGGGCTGCTGCTCAACAAAGTCAGTGAATGACCAGAACTAACGTACAACAGGTAAATTAAGATATGATTAAGAAAGAACAGGCTCATCAAAAAATAATCTCAAAGTTCTGTTCTGAACCAGATACTAACATTTTCATAACATCCAAGGAACCATAAATGGTTGGATATGCTCTCATTGGTCCCGAAAACACACATTTAAGGGCAGCAACAAATATGAGAGTAAATGTTGGTTTGGTTCAGCTACAAAATCAGACATCAAGAGACTACAGCGGACAGTCAGGACTGCAGAGAGGATTATCGGTGCCCCTCTGCCCAGCCTCCAAGATCTTTACATCTCCAGAGTGAGGAAAAGGGCTAAGAAAATCACCTTGGACCCCTCACACCCAGCCCACTCTCTCTTCGAACTGTTGCCTTCTGGTCGGCTCTACAGAGCACACTGTAAAAAAAAATTACGGTAAAAAACCGGCAGCTGTGGTTGCCGGAATTTTACCGTAAAAAATACGGTAGCAAGGTTTTAGGTTTTACGGTTTTAACTTAAATTTACAGATAAAAACCGTAATTTCATTAACTGATAACATTTTATTATATACCAACCTATTGAAGTACAGAAATCTGTTTTGTAGCTTTGTAATACACTGATAACCACCAAATGCAGGAGGTGATGAGAAAGTCACATGATGAACCAACGCCCATCACAAACAGCTTTTAAATAATAACATATATAGAAGGTGCACAGTGTCATTCACACAAACACTAAACACCATCACGGTAACACACATGAAACTGAAATAATGCAATAAACATTAATTTAACAACATTAGGTGTAACACACAACGATAATATACAAAACTGATAAGAAAAAACTAAGAAGAAACATAGTTATTTCAACAAAAAAAACATCAAATTTGAAATGTAACGCAGGGAATTCTGGGAATGTCAATTTACGGTTATTCACTGTAAATTATACGGTCTTTTTCACTTCCAAATACGGTATACTACCGCCAAATGAATGTCCAATACAGTTTTTCACCGTATATAGTAGGGGAATTTACCGTTAACCATTTAACAGGTTTTTACTGTAGCATTTTTACAGTCTTTTACCGTTAAATTCACGGTCATTACTGACCACCAGAACAGCCAGGCACAAGAACAGTTTTTTTCCCCGCAGGCTATATTCAGCCTGAACAATTAAACTTTCATAATTATCGTCCATCACAACTGACGTATTTATACACAGAATCCAAAATCTGTACACTTGCAAACTGCACACTTTGTAAATAACATATCTGCACACTTATAACATATCTGTACGTTTATCTAAACAATAACACATTTTCCCTATACTTCTATTTCTGTATATAGTACATTTATTTAATTTCCTTTTTTTTCTTATATGTTATATTCCATCCCTACTGTGTTATTCCTATGTATGTCTGCACTATCATGTATGTCTGTACTTTCTTCTGCACTGGAAGCTCCTGTCGTCAAGTCAAGTTCCTTGTGTGTGCAAACTTGGTAATAAAGCTCTTCTGATTCTGATGTTATCTTCATGTGGATGTTGTCTAGGCCAAGAGGCTAAATTAATAAATTAATGAATTAACTTAAGCTACAATGGATACGCATGGACTGGAAGTATAAGGTTTGAGTATTTTTAGTATTATCTATTATTATTTACAATGAATTCCGCTAATAACGATACTTTAAGTTGACACAATACGGTACGTTTATTTGAACGTCTCCAGAATCTGTACCTTTATCGGTGTTCAAAATCAAGGCGCTGTCTCTTTAAGAAACTGCGTCGCTCGGTTTTGGGAAGAAGCGAGTCCGATATGGCGGAATGGAAACACACTCCGTCGGCTCCGTCTTCAGCCAGCATGACCTCGCTGGGTCGAGCGCTTTCTCGTAGCAAGCTCAGTCAGCCCGATGCGTTTCAGCTGCACAAGTCTCTGAGCCGGAGCGCCGCGGGCCAGAGTCGCCGGAGGTTCTCGAGCAGCTCGGAGTCTCCTGATATCAGCCCAAATGTCGAGGCGAGGGTCCTGGTCATAAACACCGGCGGAACCATTGGAATGACGTATCATAATAATGGTAAACTCTGCCAGCGTCGCTCACACACCTGCTTTTACCCTGACTGCACACCTGACTGCATGCGGCTCGACTGATACTGCACACTACAGACACATGGTGCACATTGTTATATTAATATTATTACACGTTTATTGGATTATTTGTTGATATCATTCACATTCAAAACAACAAAACAGTGGGAACCGTTTAAATAGTGGGGGTACACATCACTCTATGGGTCTTTGGAAATTAATTATAATCTTTAACTAAAGATAAATCTACAGTGGTCTTGAAATGTATTGTTGCCATTGTGATAAATAACAATCCAAGTGACATCTGTTAACCATGTATGCCATGTCTTTTAATAGCAGTCTTTTAAACAATGAACATAAAAAGACAGTTACATTATCTCAAATATTAGGATAAAATACATAAAAAAAATCATTGGTCATTCAAAGGATTTAAGGTTTTACAATAATTTTAATGTATACAAGTAGAAACCTATTTCTGATTTAAAAATCAGTAAAATTAGGATTTTTTTCAATGCCAATTTGGGTTTGTGGATAAAGAATTTAGCATATATAATTAGTAAGTTCACAATATACTAAATGCTAAAGTTAACATTATTATCATTAAATAATGATCGTTTCAGTGTTTGTATTATTTAAAAAAATAAAAGCAGTTATAAAATAAAGTGCCACTACGTTTTGTCTTCATTTTGAAATGTATATATAGTAACTAAAATATTACTTATTTATTTATTTATCAAAATATTTTGTCAATACGTATTTATCTTGCATTAACTGCCACTTGGTAATGCACAAATAATTATATATTTTTCAGTCTGTGTTAAATGATTTGCTTATTTTCAAGACAAAAATAAAATAACAGAACAGTTAGACATAAACAATTTCGATTTCATATTGAGTGCTACAACATATCAATTACCATCAGCCTGTCGTACAGTAATGTGGTGGATGTTTTAAATTGAAAATGTCAGTAATAATTATCAAAGAATATCATTTCATGAATTTCAAGTATAACTTGTCCAGTCCAGTGGCTACATTTTTGGGTTTGAGAGCAAAGAGGTTGCAAGTTTTTAATTGTATTAAACCAAAACTGCAGCTGTACATTAATCGATGTACATTAGAAGCAGGAACACATACACGTATTGATCCAAATGGTAATGAATTGCACAGTCTGTGTAATGACTTGATTATGTAAAGTAATAAACGGTAATGGGAAGAGTGCTTCAAGAGTGGTTTTGTTTACAGTATTCACACAGAATTGTTCTGAAGAGGATGCTGACCATGTTTAATGACTTTATTAGTAATTCCGTGATCAGAATGTTCAAATATTTGCCTTCTGTAAACTGTAGTTAATCTTTCCCGACACTGGGCTTTAGTACCATTTCCTGCACAATACTGCTTGAACAATCTTGATTCTTTATATATAAAAAGAAGCTTATCTAAAACAAACGCTGATAAAAAGAAATGATAGCGCCTTTTAAAGAATTTGCAAGGTCATTAGGTCAAACACAAAAAACATTCAGCTCTGTTAAATTGTTTCTCGAAGTTCAAGGACAGAATCCGTATTACATAAATGACATACAATAAACACTGACTTTCTCCACCCAGAACCTTTAATCTCCCATTCTGCCGCAAACACAGGCTCCGTGAAAATCAACCATCATATATGGACTGAACAGAGGTTCTGTTTGAAAGACACATTTGTAACGGTTTGACGATAAATCATGATAAAATTCCCGACGGTTAGTATTACCGTTTCATATTTTAATTATCATTAAAACCGTATTAGATTACCGCGATTTGAACAACTCGCGATAAATAAATACTGTCCAGCATAAAGAACAGTTTTCAGTAACAGTGTCACGTGCGCACAGCACGCAGAGTAGTTTCGTTTTGTGTGAAAACAGGGCGGAAAAGCTGGGAGGTTTTAAAAGAGTGCTAAGGGAATTATACAAATGAATATATGAATGAATTAATTATATGAATGTACCTCTGAAGGTTCTGACTGTCTTCAGAAACGATTAGATGGCATTTTGTTTTCGTCTTCGCTCCATGTAATACCTAAAGCAGGGGTCACCAGACTCGGTCCTGGAGGGCCGGTGTCCTGCAGAGTTTAGCTCCAACCCTAATCAAACACACCTGAACCTGCTAATCAGGGTTTTACTAGGTATACCTGAAACTTCCAGGCAGGTGTGTTGAGGCAAGTTGGAGCTAAACTCTGCAGGACACCGGCCCTCCAAGACCAAGTTTGGTGACCCCTGACCTAAAGGAAGTGTTCTTAATCGCAATAATGCTTTGTCCACGGAGGTTACGGGATACAGCTCTAATTCAGCTGTTCCATAAGCGCCACCTGCTGTCAGCGAATGGATTTACAGAGACTTATATTTGCATTCAGCCTGTGTGCAGTTTCTGTCTTGCCAAAAACGGACCAAATTTGCATGCCCTGCTGTAAATTTGGACCGGTTGATGAAAAACAAGCTTATGTGGATACTACACATTTAAACAATTCAGATAAGTTATCTAGAATTATTTATGGAGCAGATAAAATACGTATAATCATTTATTAATCAATTATCATTTTGACTTAACTATTTTCTTTATTTAAAGGCTGAAATGTGAGGTTTACCTTTTTATGAAACTTTTTCAAAGCTTTATTTGAACATTTACAGTAGAGATTTCAACATGCTATTAAACTGTTGTCAGTCAAGTTGTCATTTAAAATCCAAACATCATTGGTAATGTTATTGCTTTAGTGATTATGCAAACAAAAAGTCATTTTAATTGTTGTTTGTTGATTTTTAAATATAAAACTTGAAGTGATTTATGTGTTGGTACTTTTTGAACATCTCCAGCACATTTGAACAATACCGTGATAATACCGATAACCGTGATAATTTTGGTCACTATAATCGTGATAAGAACCCTGCTTTGGTGCATTTGTTATCAGATGTGTCTTTGTTAATAGCATTCTTACTGGCTTTTCTTCTGCATTTGCAGTTCTGTCCCCAGAACCTAATGCTCTCGTTGAAACTCTACGCAAACTCCCCATTCTGCACGATGAACAGTACGCACAACAGACCAGACTGTATGAATACTACAAGCCTCCGGAGAACACACTGGTGCTGCCGTAAGTTCCCACACATGTGCGCACAAATCTGTGATCGGGTTAGAAGTTTGTGGAGGTGTTGTCCTAGACACTAGCAGCCACTGGCTGTATTTAACTATTTGTGTTCAAAATACAGGTTTGATAGTTGGGTTGTGCTATTTTTGCATCAGTGTAGGAATAATTCTCCCAAAATGAAAATTGTGTGACACCAGCCTATATTTTACAATTGGATACAATTAAGGATATCTAATAATGTCTCAATAATAGAAAAGAGCAAGCAAGTAATTTTTATGTTTGGTGCCTTAGTTCTGTGTTCTGCATATTAAAGGTGTGTGATTTTGCTGGCAAACATAATATGTGCTGTACTGGCTATGTGTGATGGTTGTGCACAGGAGTATGTTAGAGATACACCAATGCAAAGTTTGTATGCCAAACCCGATATCCAGTTCTACAAATATAACTTGGTGATTTCTGATATTTATGCAACTTTGAAAGAAATGTAAACAAGTCTATTACATTATATCCACAGTCTTAATGCTCATACAATGCCTGGACTGCACCCTCTTTACCGTTTTTTGTGGTTGTCATATGGGTTGGGATTTTCTTTTTCTTTCTGCTAAATCTATTAGTATTAGATCTATTACTCTATTAGCTTATCAGTGCACCTAACAAGGGTGGCCCAGTTTAACAGCACCAGGCCACATGGATATGTATGTGGTTTTAGGATTTATTAATTAAGACAGGTCATGCTAATCTGCTCACTCGCGGTTCCTAAATGTGGAAAATCCCCCAGCGCTCCCCTCTTCATTACAGTAAGACCTAGAGCCGCCCCTAAAGCGATGAGCAAAGTCTGAATTCTGCAGCTTCATAACATTTACTCATCCATTGACGCACACATGGCTTTTACTTTAACTACAGGAGACGCCCCTGAAATCAGTCAACCTCTCACTGTCAGTAAATAATCAACTTTTTGTTTTAGTTGATCTAGCTAAACTAACCCATGTTTGCCTATAAATGGGATTCGCTGGTTTAAATAAGAAATTTTGCTTTAATTGTCTTTCACATTACACATTAACATTTTGCTGCTTTTAAAAACATTTTATCTCTTTTTTTCCCACTCCAGACTGTCCAAACAGAATAAGAGGATTGTATATAGAGTCTTAGAGTACTCCCCCCTCCTCGACTCCTGCAATATGACCACAGATGACTGGGCCACTATTGGAAAAGACATTGAGGTGCTCCTTTTTTATGCTTTGCTTTGCAGGGCTTGAATTTTTCAAATTTGCTGTATGAAACTTTGACTGTATTATAGCTTTGATCGGGTCACTCCCATTGGTGCGGCTATTTATTTTTTATTTTTTTCACAGCCTGAGCTTGGACATGACTGAATGTAATGATTGATGTCTAAATAACTGATCATGATTAGTTATTTAATGCTGTGGGTTTTTTTTGTTACAAAAGGGAACTTTTTAAAATTTGTAATTGTTGGTAATCTTCTAATTTCTTGAAGATAGTTCTGTGAACAGGTTAACAATTTGTTGGTAAACTGTTGGTATTTTCAACATTTTTATTTCTCTCATGTTGACAGAAACACTACGAGCAATATGATGGTTTTGTCATTCTCCACGGCACAGACACAATGGCTTACACCGCCTCTGCCTTATCCTTCATGTGTGAGAATCTAGGAAAGCCTGTCATCCTCACTGGCTCACAGGTAACACGTTTTAAATGGATAGTTCACCCATAAAGCATTTACTCACCTTTGTGTTTTTCCAAACCCTTATGACTTTCTTACTTTCATGGAACACAAATTGAGGATTTTTGAAGAATAGTGTAAGAATACTTAAAGAACTGCGTGTGCATTTTAGTTATTATATCTCAGATGTAAACCAATGTACTTTGTTATTTATGCCAAATTTTTTTATTCCATTTAACATTTTATTCTATTTAACATTTGAACTTGTAACCATGAAAAACATCATCATATTAGCTTCACGACCTTCTTATATATGGCAGGTGCCCATCTATGAGATGAGGAATGATGGGAGGGACAACCTTTTGGGGGCGCTATTGATAGCAGGACAGTTTGTCATCCCAGAGGTGAGTTTTTTTTTGTTTTCTGTGAGAGATGCACATGCTGCATTTGGATACAAATACAAGATAGCACCACATACAGTACCCTCCACTAATATTGGCACCCTTGGAATATATGAGCAAAGGTGGCTGTGAAACTAAATCTGCATTGTTTAACCTTTTGATCTTTCATTCAAAAAATTCACAAAATTCTAACCTATCATTGAAGTAAAACAATGGAAAGTGGGGGTGGGGGGGGGTCTCATTATCAAATAAATGTTTTTCTCTAGTTCATGTTGGCCACAATTATTGGCACCCGATTACTGCAATGTCCTTTTCCCAAGATAACAGCTCGGAGTTTTCTTCTATAGTGCCTGATGTGTTTGGAGAGCACCTGACAAGAGATCAGAGAACATTCCTTCATAGAGAATCTTTCCAGATCCTTCAGATTCCCAGCTCCATGTTGGTGCATCTACTCTTCAGTTCACCACACTCATTTTCTACAGGGTTCAGGTCAGGGAACTGGAATGGCCATGGCAGAAGCTTCATTTTGTGCTCAGTGACACATTTTTGTGTTGATTTTGATGTTTGTTTTGGATCATTGTTCTGATGGAAGATCCAACCACGGCCCATTATAAGATTTCTAACAGAGGCAGTCAGGTTTAGATTGTTTATCTGTTGGTATTTGATAGGATCCATGATGCCATGTATCTGAACAAGATGTTCAGGACCTCCAGCAGAAAAATAGGCCCCTAACATTAAAGATCCAGCAGTATATTTAACCGTGGCCATGGGGTACTTTTTATCCCTATCTGCATCAAACCCATCTGGTGGGTTTACTGCTAAAAAGCTTTTTTTTTTTTTTACTTTGATCTGACCATAGAAGCCAGTCCTGTTTGAAGTTCCAGTCGTGTCTGACAACTGGATAAGCTGGAGTTTGTTTTTGGATGAGCGAGGAGGATTTTTCTTGAAACCCTCCCAAACAACCTGTGGTGTTGTAAGAGCTGTTTGATATTTTTTTAGGCTTTCTGAACCCAAGACTCAACTATTCTCTGCGATTCTCCAGCTGTGATCCTTGGAGAGTTTTTGGCCTCTCAAACTGTGCATTAGGACGATATAGAAACACGTCTTCTTCCAGGCAGATTTGTGACGTCTTCAGTTGATTGGAACCTCTTAATTATTGCATTGATGGTGGAAATGGGGATTTTCAATGCTTTAGCTATTTTCTTACAGCCACTTTCTATTTTGTGAAGCTCAACAATCTTGTTCTGTGCATCAGAACTATATTCTTTGGTTTTCCTCCTTGTGATGGATGATTATATTTATAATCCTGTGGAACAGCTAGTCATGGCTGGACAATTTCATGCTCATAGTCACCCTGGTGTGCCAAAAAAAAAGTAAATATGATTGGGAATATATTTCAGAGATATTTTACTCATAAGAATTTCTAGGCGTGCCAATAATTGTGGCCAACATGCGTTGGAGAAAACCCCCCACTTTTACCCCCCACTTTCAATTGTTTTACTTTAATGAAAAGTTAGAATTTTGTGATTTTTTTTATTTTATTATTTATTTATTTTTTGAATGAAAGATCAAAAAGATAAACAATGCATATTGGTGGAGGGCACTGTATTTATGATGTTTTTAAGACGCTTATTTTGGAGCATGTTAACTAGGACTGCAGTTATAAAAATAGAATTTCATCGTCAGTTAGTCTGTCTGAGATTTTTTTTTCTTATAAATGTGCATTTTTATCAGGCTCCTATGAAAATAACATTGGACATTTTTGAAAATAAGGCATTTAATAACTGACTAATAACCTTTACATTGCCATTAAAGTGAAATTAATGAACTTAAACATAGGAGCCTGATTAAAAATGCTAATTTAAAATAATAAATCTCAGAAAAATCTCAAACAGACATAGGTTTATGCATCATCTTCATATATATATATATATATATATATACATACAGTGGGTACGGAAAGTATTCAGACCCCCTTAAATTTTTCACTCTTTGTTATATTGCAGCCATTTGCTAAAATCATTTAAGTTAAATTTTTTTCCTCATTAATGTACCATATTATACATCTCCTTTGAGATGATTATTTACAATAAATAATAACAAAACAATAATAAAATATGATTATAATAATTTTATGATAATTATTATAAAGAAATGATATTATAAATATAAAGCAGTTTGAATTGAGTGAATTTCTTTCTGTCTTCACAGGTATGCCTGTATTTTCATCATAAGCTGTACAGGGGCAACCGTGTCACCAAAGTGGACGCTGCAAGTTTTAATGCGTTTACCTCACCAAACCTGCCACCATTAGCCAATGCTGAAGTCGACATTAAAAGTGATTACAGTTCTGCCAACATTTATACACAATCTTAGTCTCATTTGAGTCTATTAAATTAAAAGATAAGTTTACCCCTCAAAATAAAAATTTGGTCTATTATTCTGCCCCCATTTACTCTTGTCCTTCTCATATTGCTTTTTTCTGTCCTTTTTACACACTGGTTTGTCTTTTTTATGCAATTATAATAGGCTTTCAAGATTACAAAAGTAACACCATCAAAGTATCTTAAAAGTGGTCTATGTAACTTCTGTGCTGTATTGTATAAGCACTTAAATTTAATTTCTTTTTTTTTGTATGTGAAGCTAACATAGGATTTCAGAATTTTGAATAGTTTATAAGTTGTATAGGCTACTTTATGGTGGTGTATTTTTTATTTTTTTTTGAAGCATGAAAACCTAATTGCATGGTTTGGAACATCACTGAAATGAGTAAATGATGATACTTCAACTTGTTAATGATGCATAGAATTAATCACAGACATGGGGAGTAACAAATGTTGAATAGACGTAATCTAGATTTGGCATTAAACTGCAAAAATTCACCATTGGGTAGCTGACAAATTTATTAATTAAATGTATGTGAATGTCTAAGGGAAAATCAAATGTATGTTTTAAGTGCTGTCACTGGTCATCTTTCTTCATTTCTTTCTTTTTTTTTAATTCTGTTCACTTTAATAATCTTGTGTGAGTGTGAAGAATTAATTACGAAGTACAAATATTCCATATTGTCTCACAATTAGTATTATACTGAATAAATGAAAAATATAAAAACTGCACATGCAATAACTATACACAAATTTTTAAGAAAAATATAAAGAAATGTTTAATTTTAGATTAAATATATTTTATCATATTGCCACACACTGCTTGAATTTTCATGTCAATTCCCTTATTAGTGATGCTGTCGTGTTAATAGTTTTATTCAGATATGTCAGTTTGAGTATTATGTTTTCTTTCTTTCTCTTCAGTTAACTGGGATACTGTGTGGAGAGCCAATACAACCGCCAAGTTCACTGTCAACACACAAATGAACCGTAATGTGGGTCTCCTGCGACTCTTCCCAGGAATCACTGCTGATACAGTAAGGCCGTGTGGTAATGTCTGCTTTTATTTTCCACATATTATTGACAAATCTCTTCAGTCAGCATATGAACATGTTCAATATCATAACTACTCTCTCAACAGGTCAGGGCCTTCTTGCAGCCTCCTATGGACGGGATCGTATTGGAGACGTACGGCAGCGGTAACGCCCCTGACAACCGCGCTGACCTGCTAGATGAGATCCGTAAAGCTACCGAGAGAGGACTCATCATGATCAACTGCACCCAGTGCCTCAGGGGCTCGGTCACAACCTCATACGCCACTGGCCAGGTATGGGTGTTTGTTTGAGAAAGGCCTTATGTGGCTGTTTTCCAGGAGTGTGTTATCCTTTAATATTCCCTCTCAGGCTCTGAGTGATGCCGGTTTGGTCGCTGGGCGTGCGTGCGTGCGAGAGAGAGAGCGAGAGCGAGAGAGAGTCTTAAGAGTTCTAAGACAGGTAGTCAGCTGTCTTAACCGTGGCTTGTGTACTGCAAACACATACCAGCTTCATCACTGTGTCTGTCACGCTCTGTTCCCCTTTCGGGCTCTGTCTTTACATTTATTTTGAAAGATGAAGCTCGTGATTATGATAAGGGGCGTTACATTTCCGACGAGTGCACAATAACTCACTAGCACTCGCTGCATCTCATGGCCTCAAGTCCGTTTTGTATATTTTTGTATTTCCTCCCTCCTAAACGCCCCGTTATGTCTTCTAATGCATGCAACTATTTTCTTTTGTTCGGCTTGTAACCCGTTTTTGTTTTTGTTTTATCACCATGCATTTTTAGAAGTAAAATATGCATTTAATTCCGGTGAATGTTTCTGCGTGAGAATTGAACTTGCCACTTTTTCAAACCAAAGATCTCTTTTTCAAACCATTTCCTACGAGTTCGGCCAATCACAATGCACTGGGTCAGCTGGCCAATCAGAGCAGACTGCGCTTGTCGGAAGGAGGGACTTTGTAGAAAACGAAGCGTTTGAGAGAGGCGGGGCATAGAGGACCTACAATAATGTACAGTATTTAAAAAATAATGTGTTTTTTGAACATTAAAGCATGTCAACATATTCTGTTACACCAAATAATGATCTTTAAAAAAGCATCATACGACCCCTTTAAATTTTTGACAAAGTCTTACCGGATCATTCAAATCTGTGTTCGCACAGCCACTGACACAGAGAGAGCAGTTACTTACCATGTTTGGTTAAGAAACATTTTCACAAACTGTCTTTTCAACTACACAGTATTATGTCTTACAGTCATTCATATATTATCACAGAAATACTGGGGTGAAAGTTTATAGTTCAGATATAAGCATTGATGTATATGGCAGCGATCAAAATAGAGCAAAATATCCTTTTGTCAATTGCATTGTTTTGCCAATAGGTGGCGAAAAGTGACTTAAAAATGTATTTGTCATTGAATGAATTATTCATTCAAGAGAATCGTTCAAAAACTCATCCAGTAATGAAACAAGTGAAGTAGGTTTATTAATGTGAGTCGTTGAATCATTGATTCAAATAACTTTTTCATAATTTTAATATAAAAAATTGGTTTATTAAATAGGGATGCGCCGATCCGATATTCAAATCGGGTATCAGCTCCGATAGTGCCATTTTTCTCGGATCGGGTATCGGTCAGAGAGGGCCGATCCAAATCCGAGATTTATTTATTATAATTTTTTTTCAATAGTGCGAATTATTCGGTGTTACTTCTGAAGCCATACGATAACTTAATGTGAGCTACATATGAATATTTAAGTCCTTACATTAAAGTTCACAAACTCTTTTCTCCGCTGTGGCTGTCAGTCATTCGTTCAGCCTTTAAAGTTTAAACCCTGGTCGGGTTCAGTTACAGCAGTCAGCTCGGTAAAGCGCTCTCCAAGATCATTCTGTGTTCCCATTATACTTGATTTGTAAATGCATGTCTATGATTTTGAAAAAGGACTTTATCTTCTTGCCGGAGTTTAATGTTGTTTTGTTACTTGCTACCAGGTGTCTGTGAGAACAAAACACGGGCGTAGAAAAGACTATCAATTGTTTTTAACGTGCACAGTAACTGAAATTTAAAACCGTTAAAAGAAAGGCTCAATAACTGTTGCACAGATATAATACACTATATAGAAATTCTACATTTATTTAAATCAGGGAAAAAAACTTGACTGGTATCGGATCGGAATCGGTATCGGCCAATACTGAACCCTAGGTATCGGAATCGGTATCGGAGGCAAAAAAGGCTGATCGGAGCATCCCTAGTATTAAATATATTATATATACACTAGATTTTTAGATTTTTTATGTTTTTTAAAGAAGCCTGCATTTATTTGATCCAAAGTACAGCAAAAACAGTAACATTTTGAAATATTTTTACAATGGGGTGGGGTGTGAGACCTGCAATTTAAAATAACTGCTTTCTATTTGAATATATTTTAAAATGTAATTTAT